TTACGACACTGGCTAACACGCCAATCATCCCCCCAATGAAAAATATTTTTCTACGCCACTGTTTGCAATGTAGTAAAAACTTTCTATCATTGATTATTGACGCAAGCCTATCTATCTAGTTTTATGTAAGGATGCATAAGGTTTCAAAACATTCTAATCACTGATTGATTCAAGTCTATTTATCCCGTTTTATAGAAGATTTTGTAAGGTCGTGTACCTTCCTATTATTCATTGATGCAAGTCTATCCATCTGGTTTTATATAGGCATAACAATAAAAATGAAAATAATAATTACAATTTTTTTTTTTTTTAAATTAATAATCATAAGGCATCTAACCTACAAAGTCTAGCAATATATAAGGCAATGGTACGGACCAAGTGGCGGATCCAGAGATGTCCAAAAGGGGGCTATAATTTTTTTTCTTTTATTTTCTTTTTTCTTTTTTTGTTACCTCCCAAAAGGGTGACGACGACTGTATGTTTCGCTATTCCGAAGTAAGTGAAGCAACAAAGAAACAATTACAGTTTTTGACTAAGAAAAGTCTTTTAATATTAAACATGAAACTACCTCAAGTAGAATCTGAGACAACATAAACAATAAAGCAACAAAATTTATTTCTACCCCACCGACTTCTATGTCAAGATATACTACTTGTGGAAAAATCTAACAAATCCTAATAAAATAGTGTTTCAACTTCCAATGAGAAATGGTTCAAAACACAGTTTTAGAGATTTTACAGTCAGTCAATAGAGTCTGCATGCTTAGAATAACGGAATTATTTCTGTGTCTGCATCATTGGTAAGGAATATATTTTCTTGCTCGCATCTTCAATTTAAAACTAACAAATTACTTAAATCTACAAAGTATGCAATTCAGATGTTGAATTTATTGTTTAAGTTTATCAACACATTGAGTACCGTATATCATCAATATTGGAAAAGAATAACAAAAACACTACAAAAAAATATTTAGATTTTATGAATTTTAAATATTTAGTCACTACTAATTGAATTTAATTCGTCCTGCTTTTTTCTGTCATTGTTAACTACTACAACACCGACCAAACTCAGTTATTTTTAATAGATACACTAGATTTAATTCACTCATTTAGACATCTTTTCTCATACAGTGAATTGGCACTTAACATTGTATTTATCCTGAATAACATTGTAATTATCCTGAATCTAATAAAGAAAGTGTCTTCGTTGTTGTATTAGTCATCCAAAATCTAATGAAAGAATTAATTGTCAATTAACAATCTTTGAGTCTCGAAAACATTTTGACATTTGTACTTTGCCACGGGAGGAATTATTTGGTCGGGTATTTGTCCTCATAGTGTAAATTAACATTTTCTGCAAATGGCTGTTTTGATACAAACTATGAAATATTGAGTATTTTAAGTTCAAAGATAGACAGGGAAAGGAAATGCTGTGAAAGATCTTTCATCATTCTGTCACCTGAAATTCACCAAGTGGAGTTGTTTAGCAATTGCGACAAGGACAAGAACCCGTATTTGTCAATTTTACTGTAAGGGTTGTTCGGCTTAAAGGATCTACAAACAAAGATACACTCGCTGTGGCTAAAAACTCTAAAACCCTCCAAAATATGTTAATGAAACACAGGGTTGCACAATTAACAGAATTAAATAAGTTACATACTATGTCTATCAACTCTGAAAAGGTAACTTTTTTTTTCATAAAGTTTTATATAAATATTAGTAATATTAATATTAATAATAATAATGATAAAATGTTTATTATTCAATAATTTTAATAAGAACCAAAGGATTCTGAAATGTATGACTCCTGTTTCTTGAATCATATAGCAATCTTATACCTCTTGGTATATCATTGTTCATTATCTATTGCAGTAAATGAATAATAACAATAATATATATAGAAAAATAATAACATATCAAATGTCACAGCATTCAAGAAAGTGCATTTGGGACCAAACTGAATTCAATTCATATCTTTTCATTCATAAATCATTATGTTGCAAAATATTCCTGCCTGCAGTACCATTAACTATAAACTGATTCAAATATTACGCCTGGTATATCAAGCATGTCGAGTTAGACATTAAATCAGATGCATCCTTTCGAGTCTGTTAATATTCAATGTTTGACTTTGCCAATTTTGGTATGCTTTTATCCATCTATGCCGGTTGCATATGTAAAGGTATTGATTTTCTCACATGTATGTCAAGAGGTTCCATGTGACATACAAAACATACTCTGAATTATCTTTTATATCAAACAATAATAAAGCATGTTCATAGAATGGTTTGAATTATAGAATTACAAATTCTATCAATAAAAGAGCACCTTGCTCCGCTCATCTTATTCTCATATTTCTTGTGGATGCACATTGATAAACAGATTTTTCACAATTTTTAAGATTAAATTTTCTTGAAATATGCTTCAGTAACAAAATACACCTTATTTATACATAGAATAAGATACTAAATTATATTACAATGAAAACAAATGCACATTTTAGACATGTATCATGCATACCATAATACATGATATACAATCAGCTTACAAGCAGACTTAAGCTATCACTTGTTTTAAAGTGTAAATTCAAAATTATTCTAATGCATAATTCATTAATTTCCCTTAATTTCTAGAAAACATGTCATAAACAATTTTTTTTTACAGCTAGGCTCATACTATTGAAAAAATGTTGAATAAAAATAACTTTGTTAAAACGGGATGTTACACAAGCTACTAGCATGTTATTGGTTGGCTCAGAGTTAAACATTTCATCCTTCTATGGCTGGTTAAATTATACTCTTATATCCATCTTGTGTCAGACTTATCATACATCTATACATGCTTTGTAATTAAGAAAGTACATTTCACAACAGGTGTACACTTATAATATTCTACAGTAGCTCATGAAACAGCCATTTTAATTAACCCAATATACTTTTATTAATTACAGGAAGCTATGGCAGGCTACACAAAGATCTTCCCCAATGAAAACTATGATGGATGTTAAGTATTATGAGAGATCATTGAATCTCAAATAGAATATTCATTGATGAAGCATTAGATTTTTATTCACCAATTTACTTTCAATAGCAGTTCATTAATAAAGAGTTATCAATAAAGTGCCATCAAATACAGTAGTTTAATTTATGCCTCTGGTAGAAATGTGCAAAATGGGTAATACAAAAATATTGTCCAAGTGTCCCTAGAATATTATCTAAGATCCCTAGAATAGTAAAGCTTTTTTTCGAGTATCTGCCAAAAACCAGACCCATCTCAAGACCATCTATTAGGAAGTTTCTTACTTTCCCCTTCTTACTCTGCATGTGGTTGTTTTTAATAGTAAGTTGGTAATCCTCTTTCTATACTTACTGAAAATGAGATCATTCAATTTCATAAGGCATTTTAACATCCAGGTCCACATTTGGTCAAACATGTAAAGTTCCAGTACCTGGATCAAATGATAAAGCATAAACTCTACACAGTCCCCCTTAAATGCCAATGGGAATCTTCTGATTATCTATGCAAAATGTTGAGACACTCACTGACTGTGTAGAATACAATTAGGCAAAACTTTTTATACCTAGTTTTGCAAACCCGCCACATTCCCATTAATTGTATTAAATTATATTTGGCTTATTAGTGCATCCCCATTGTAAAAATGATGTGAAATTGTACATTTCACATCAATAAAAAGTAAATTATATTAAATTTTCCCAGCCACCCTCTTCTGAAGACCTTTTATAAATAAAATCTTGCCTAATTGTGGGATTTAACATAATAAACATGTTGGACTGATTCTTCTAATGTTGAACATTTGTGGACATTACTGTATGTGTACTAACTGAACTTCATTTCTTAATTAGCTGTCTTCTCAAATATCAGTTGTTCATATCACCAGATTACAATCCAATTCCTGTCATGATGATTTCGAGACAGTTCCTATGCCGTTGGTTTGAGGGTTGTCCAGCATCACGCTCTCAATCGGAGAATGCATGGCGCTGCTTCCGACATCAATAGCTTGCGTTTGTAGTCGTACCTCAAACACCTCTTCAATTGCTTTCTTGAAGCACAGGAAATTGTAATCAATAATACCTAATGAACAGAAAAAAGAAAGTTAAGATTTATTCACCTTTGTGCAATATCTACACATGGCCACATGCTTTGCTGCTGAACAGAGACAGAAAAAATATGGAGTCAATGCATGCTTTCAGACAGACAAGCTATTCAAAATAAATCGACAAATCACTGTGGAGATATGATGGACAAGTTCAACAAACAGTTCTACGATACTAATTAAGCTACCATCAATGTTCAAATCACAGAACAAAACATTTTTCTCAAATATCGATTTTGATTATTACTAAACACACTATTCCACCCTGGTAGGGTTTATTTCATACAATTTACTATTACAAATGTATTTTTTTTTAGTTTACGGATCTTGATTGTAAAACATTACACTAATGTGTATTTCAGGTTGTTGATTTACTGCAAACTATAAGGTAGTGTATTTATAGACTCAAACATATAGCCTCCGAGGTTATATTTCTTGGTACAGAACAAACTTCATTAGTAACGCAGTGGAAATTGCGTAGATTTGTGTATTCTATTAGAGAGTTATTAAAAGAGTTTGGTACAGATAACTTCATGGCACGCACTTATAGACTTATTACCAAGATCTTATAAATTTTTCTAAATTGGAAAAATATTTTGAAGGAATATGCATATGAATAAATATCAATAATTATCATGTTGTATTTTTTAATGTTATTTCTTTTTTGTTTTATGTTTTATATTTGAAGTTTATTCTTCATGTATTTTTTTTTTTATTTTTTTTTATTTTTTTTTTTAAATGATAATGATGTATTAATAACAAAAACTAAACCAAAAAAATTAATCTCAACATCAACTGTAGCAACAGAAGCTTCAGCACCATTGGATATATTTGGTGTGAAAACCAAGGATGTCCCACACAAAAGTATTTACTTATTTCATGGTGGTGATTGGCCAGTACACCGGGAAACAGTGCCCTATTCTTTTCCAAAAGTATGCTGCACTTTTTAGAGTTCATATAGACCATATTGCATACAAGACCAACGATTTATACATCTCTTCCAAAAGACAGTTCGCTTTTGTAAATTAATGCGCTTAATCACTCCAGCTGAAACATAAGGAAAGCAGTGGATAAAATTGAACCGGGTAAAGGCTTTTAACAATGGATCTTTGGGGTCTTGTCTTGTATACGTACTGAGCAACTCTTCTACTGAAGCCATGATCAGGTGGTAATCCACAATGGCAGGAGCTGTGAGATGTTCCAGAAGATGAACTGGGTTCTTTTAGTGCACATGAGACAAATGTGTACACTGGGCCTACGGTTTATAGTACTTATCCAAGAAGACTTGTACCACCTCCGAAGGCTAGCGTGCTGTTCGAACCAGCACTGATAACATAGATGTAGGTTCAATGCACACAAGTGCCTGCCAGCATCTTGGTTGACTGAGCTATGTTGCTCTCAAAACAACAACAGCAACAAAAACAACAACAGCAACAAAAACAACAACAAAATCCTCAACTGACTGCTTACGACTTACATAAGAAATAGTGGGAAAACAGGTTTTGATTTTAAACTAAAGCTAAATACAGACAACGACTGTAAACAGACTGAATATTACCATACATGACAGTTTATGTTAATAGTGGGTCAGACATACAATATAGTAAATTCTTTATGTTTGCATCAAAGTGCATAGAATTGCCGACTGCCCTGATTTTGTAGGCCCATAATGAATCATACTACCACAAGATAGAGGGCCCCTATTTACCAACGCCTTTGACGTTCTTTTGAAGGACGCTGTCTAATTTGTGGCAATACTTTCTTTTTAGATAGAATTTCATTCCAACAAACCCCCGAGAGTCGTACCTCTTGCAGTTGCATAATCTTTGTTTGTAATCTTTGTATGTTTCTATTTTCCAATAGAAACATACGCCTACCAAAAAATTACAAAAAAAATTGTATGTAGTACATAATATAATAAAGCTATAAGCATAATAATGTTTATGCTCCATGCAACAAAATAAAAAAAAAACTAGTGTCTTTTAATACTTTCAAAATAAAATAGTTAAATCAATGGCTCAATTACCTTGATGACCATTTTGATGAGCAATCTATGAAAATTTTTTTTAGAAAGCTGCGATTAAAAGAAATGAATGTGCCTAAAGGTTAAAAACTGATGTTACAGCAATCTCAATGTATTTTGATGATCAATATGACAAGCTTTTTCAAAATTCACAAATTTTGTTAAAGCTGCGATAAATGGAAATCACTGCGCCTAATGACTAAACATACGTTAGGATGTAGTTATAAAAATGTTTTATTACACCATTAAGTACCACAGTCGAGTTATCACGATGCCAGGTGGCGCTCTCCGTTGTCAATGGACGTTATTTACCGTTCATTATGCCTGAATGACTTCATAGGCTTTCTGGAATAGGCATTTTAAAATCTAATATTTTACCATCAAAATGTACTAAAAACACAAAAGCTTGCATTATATTAGTTATCGAACCCACATTTAATCATCGATTAAAATAAAAAAGATACAACATCTTAATAATTACATTAGAAATTTGGATCAATGGTGGAGAAAATGGCATCGGGTTGAACGCATTTTGCAATGATAGCAACGGAGTAGTTATCACATGGTATCGTGACACAGGGTTGGACACCATTGAAAAACTTGTTTTCTACATAAAATTTATATCTTGTTGTAAAGTGACCAGGTGCTATGCTGCTCTATATAAGCTTAAAATTATTTATTGAGAACAGAATAAATGTAATGCAATGATACCTGTATTTCATAACAGCATCATGTTTGATAACATTGTAAAGCTCATTTTCAAATTATATAATATGTATGTTCTTCAGACAATATATATGTCCTTCAAACAATATATATGTTGTAATGTCGAACTGCTTTAACAATAAAAAAAAAAAAAACCAATAAAAAATGAAAATATTAAAAGTGAAAGATAAGCTCAGTTTGAGATATCTATCATTAGATTTAAATTGCATTCTGACTCCTATCTTCTTTTTATCAAAGTTTATGAAGCTTAAACCAAAGTGTTTGTACTTGTTATAAAATTGTGCATTAAATAGGAATTTCTCATGGTAAATCTGAACTTGCATATTCAGTCTATAATGTTGACTTAATGAAATTCAATTTGGAATATATTTTTTCCAACTTTTGCTAACACCTGACAGTTGTTTTGTTAGGGAAACTCACAAATATATAATAATATGATTTAAACCACAGCCTTCCATGCGCCAACGTTCCTATGCATGATACATGACTTAACCAACCATATTTTCTGATTAAGTCATCATAAATGACATAATCAGAAAATATGGTTGGGTCAAATTTGTGTGGTGGTTGAAAAATTCAGGGGGAGTCTTTATGGCCCAAAATAGTTATTTTAGACCACATTGGTAATGTAATTTGATAGGCAAATTACAGTAATATTAATAGCAAATTTCTTTGAAAAAATTTTGTAGGCCTAGGGCCTGGTTCTATTCTGGTTATTCTGGTTCTATCCTGGTTATTCAAAAACAATGTTCTTTTTTCTTGCAGTTCCCAGTAGTGAAAAGTCTAGTGTACCAGACGGTAGTGGCTATCGGCACTGCCGCAGTGCCGATTTGGCACTGCCGCAGTGCCAAAAAAAGCTGCTGTTTTCTATCGGCACTGCCGCAGTGCCAAAAAGCTGCCGTTTTCTATCGGCACTGCCGCAGTGCCAAAAAGTTGCTGTTTTCTATCGGCACTGTCACAGTGCGAAAAGCTGCTGTTAATTAATCGAATCGATGTTTTTATCGATAGACGACCTTGGTGTAATTCATAATTATTTCACTCAATCATAATTATTTCACTGGTTAGGCAAAAACATATCCCTGTACAAGATGCCTACCAGAGAAACAATGATAATGTTAATGGCAAAGACATAATAATAATAATAATAATAATAATAATTA